ATTATTTACAGTCTTAAGACCTGAAATAAAAGTCAGTTACCCCATACTCATAGATTTCAAGTCGAAAAATTGAATTTACGATTTAAAAAGTTTACTTTTATCATTTTTTCGCTTATATTAGTAAAACTATTCGTTATATCTATAATAGTGTGATATGTGAAATTAAAGCTGACAAAATTTGCAGTAGAAATATTATATTAGTTTATTCGCTATATTCTATAGTTTCCGTGATATTCGCCCTCGTAATTCACTAATTTCGAAAAAAAAACTTTTGCATCGCATTTTATCATTATTTGAATCGCCAACTCTTTATCTTTTCATTTTATGAAAAAGTCATGAGTAAGAAAGTTGTTTAATATTAAATTTTCTTTAAATATATATGTTATTTTACGATCTTATCTTCAACCATTCAAAGGCTAGAGCAATTATAATTTAATGATTAAACTTCTAAACTATACAGAAAAACTTTTTCTCATCAGGCCTGTTGATATGATCAATTTATAAGGACAGAGCTTAGTTTGAAATATGACACCTTTTTTACCACAGGCTCCTGGACTATTACAAACTTGAAACGTCTCAGTTTTTTTATTTGGGTGCACCCTTTCAACATTCTTAGACTATATGAAGCTTTTCCTTGGTGGAAGGCGGGGATGTTTATTATTATCATGTTAACTTCAGTTTACAAAGTTGCCGGGAAACGTGTGTTTTACACATCTTTAGTCCCCTCAGGTCCATTCAATGAATGCCCAAAAAGGGGGTAATAGAAAGAACTGGCGGAGACTCAGATTTATTTTTCTTCGAAATTCGCCATAGTTAAAGATAGATATCTTGCTAAGCGAGGATAGATATCTTGCTAAGCGAGGTAGCGAAAACATGTATAGAAGCAATCATATTGCAAATTTTGTCAGCTTTAATTTTGTAATTTTGATGTGATGGATATTTTTCCTGATATAAGTGAAACCCCGAAAAAAGTGATCTAGGGTCCTCCTCTTCCCCCCCCCCTCCCCACCTGGCTTACCACCTAGGAGTGGAGACTTTTAGTATTTTTATTTCTTACTAGTCAAACAATCTACCAAAGTCAAAAATTGTGTCCCTGCCATTTCCTTCTGTAATCATTCATTGATTGAACTACTCGGCCATCTCGCTTCACAGTTGGTATTGTATGGATAATTATTGTTCTGTTTTTGGCAATAAAAAAACTAAATTGCCTTACATTAAAATAAGAATAGACCGTAGCTCAGTTTATTTCATAATAGATAAAAGCATCAAGTATTAACTTTTACATTCTCTTACTTTATGGAAATAAAGTGCTTAAAGTATTAGTAAATAGGCGATAAAAATAAATTACTTAAGGTCAGTTTTCTAAAATAAAATAAAAAAATCCAAATCATGTTTAAAAAATGCTTCCTCTTGAACATTATATTTGTTTTTTAGAAGACTGAACAGACTTTTTTTTACTCTAGTCTTTCAAATTTCAATCATGTATAATAAATTAAATAGTTATAAATTATATATATAGTTATAGTTATAAATTAATTAGTTATAAGCTATATATTTTTAACATTTGTGTCCCTTGACATATTGGTTAGGGAAAACTTTCATTAAACAGGAAAAAGTCAGGGAATAGTCAAGGAATTTTATTCTGACAATTTGGTAGCCACCCTGTAAGTATGCTATTATTCACAAAAGGTCTCTGCTGCTTCAACTTTCGAGGAGAATTGTAGGGATGGGTGGTGCTGGATAGGGATTGTGCAAGGAGATTAGGATTATAGGTAAGGTTCTGGTGAAATGTGGAGAATTTTTTTAGGATTAGGTCTAAGACAAATGGGATATTAAGGTCATGGTGTAGGGTTTTGTTGGTTACATAGAGGAGCATCAACTATTGTTCGAAGGACTTAAATTGAAAGGATTAAATGCGTTTGATGTTAGAAATTTTTGCTGTCCCCCACAGTTCAAGTCCATATGTCCACATAGGTTTCAGGATTGTCTTGTAGATAAGTAATTTGTTTTCAATTGAAAGTTTAGATTTTCTGTTCAGTAGTCTGTATAGTTGGCCGTATCGTCAGTTGAGTTCTTGTCTTTTGAGTCTAGTATGTGGGTTCCATGTTAGTCTTCGGTCTAAGAGAAAGCCAATATACCGAGCTATGTCTTAGAAAGGAAGTTGGATGGAATTAAAGTGTACTGGTGGACAGGAACTGCGTCGGAGTGTGAAGGTAATGTGTTGGCATTTAGATTTATTTACTTTAATATGCCATTTATTACACCATTGCTCAATCAAGGAAAGGTGCCTTTGCAGATTTGAGGAGGCTATTTCGGGATCAGAGTTGGATGATAAGATTGCAGTGTCATCAGCGAATGTTGCAAGGAAGGTATCGGGATGAACAGGGATGTCAGCGGTAAAGAGGATGTAAAGCACGGAACCTAATACGCTACCTTGGGGAACACCAGCTTTAACAGGATATATATCAGAAAATTCTGTTTCACAGCGAACTTGAAAGGAACGGTTAGAGAGGTAGGATCGGAATACTAGTTATAAAGACTGAGGTAAATGGATTTTAAGCTTGAAGAGTAATCGGGGGTGCCATACCCGGTCAAATGCCTGTGCAATGTGCATGCGTAGGATGCAATTATAGATATAGGTAAGGAATATGACTGCTTTGGATGGAAGTTGTCAAAGAATCTGGGGGGTAAGGAGATCGTATCCAGGAGAATTATGGGAAATTAGTTTTTGTAGTAACGCAATTTTTATCTTTTAAAGTAAACCAGAAACGAATATACAATCAAATTTGTTGAATAAATAACAACAAAAGGTTAAAACTATAACTCCTATTTTAAAACAAAAATACCCAGTATATATAATTGAACTAAGGAACTGTAACAGCCGTAGTAGTTTACACACCCATTATCTGGCACCGCCGCATATGCGGCGCACTTATGCATTTTACCTACAAGTTCTATTTTTATTTCATATTATTTTGCTCATTGTTAAGTCATCAATTTATACAAGTATTTTGATTAATTTTCTCTCTGTGAAATCAAAACATTGTGCACTTAGTGTGACTAATTTTAACGTGTAATAGTTTAATCTTATTGCGATACAGTCAATGAATTTTTGCTGGTCGTAATTCACAAATATGCTTTCTAAAGTTTGGCTTCATGCAAAGTGTATTTAGTGACTATTTGGATTAAACTGACAAAATGATATTTTAGATATTTTCACATAGTGTCTGATCAATGATACAATCGTGCTCCAAGATTTAAACACAATATAGTTTATTTTATTTTTTATAATGAGAAATATATTAACTTGGAAGAGCACGTGATTCGAAATTTATTTTGGATAGAATAATTTTGTAATTTTCGCTTAACGTTTAATTTATTTCATTCTTTATTTTTGATATTTAAAAATAAAATTATTGTGACTTATAATTCCTTCCATAATTTCTTTTTTATATTAAAATTTTTTGTAGGCGCATCAGTATATATTTTTTTTATTATTGAAATTTACAACTGTATAATGATAAATACAACTAGTAAATATGAAATAAGTAACTTTACATGAACAACATGAGGAGAAACTACCCATTGGTAGCACTCCTAATCAGTATATTTAAATACATTACTTGCAGATTAATAATCAAGTAATTAGTAAGTTTAGCATATTTAGAGATTATTTACTGTATTTTTCATGTTTTTTTTACTGAATATTTCAGGGTTATTTACTGCATATTATATGGCATATTCTTTGATTTTTTACTGCATAAAAATCCGGTCCTTGATTATAAGTAAATAATATAATCAGAACCTGCTTGTTCATTAACAATTTTGTTTTTCCAAGTGGCATAAATGCATCGCGCGCCATGAAGGCCAGGCCTATTGTCCTGAGTGTGCGCAAGTCTCTGGTAATGCTTGGTCCCTCGATATCTCTTATTTCTCCTTTAATTCATGATCATTTTTTTTTTTTTTTTTTTTTTGCTGTTTTTATTTAACCAGTTTTATTCAATATCTACTGTGTGAACTATTTAATTTTTTGAAACAAACAAAATTAAAGATCCTTTGGAGAAAGAAATTTTGAAAAATCTATATTTACCCTGTAAAACAGCAGTAAGGATTAAACCTACCTTATATTTTTAAAAATACTTATTTGTAAATAAACATAACAATTTTAATCCGTTATGTTAGAGTGATTTTCACGAAAATTGTAAAATTCTGTTAAATTGATAATATAAAGTGCAACTTCCGGTTTGTAGATTTTAACGAAAAAGTTGCTGTAACATCCCAGGCATATGCAAACCTTAAATACACAATTTCAAGATAGACTTGAAATTATTGTAAGTGGAGATAAGGTAGCAAGTAGTACAGAAAAGGTAATTGTTAGAAACTAATAAAGTTAAAAATAAGTAAGACTAACAGTAAAGTGGTTGAACCACAAGATGCCTTTGTGTGATGTCTAGAAGATAAAGTTCACAAAAACAAAAAAGAAATTTAATATTTTAATTGACAAGATAAGATAAAAGAGGAGTCAAGTGAGAGCTATTAAAAAAAAAAAAAGATCTTTATATTAAATGTCTTTAAGAAAAAGTAGAAAATGATTTTGAAAATGAGCAGAAAGAAAATGTTAATTATAGAGAGGACATGTCTTTGAGTGCAAACAGAATGGAAAAATTAGATGCGGATGCTGCAAAAATCACAAAAAATCAGGAAATTATTTTGTGAAGATATCATGGCTAAGTTAAATATTAAGATTCCTTGTCAGTGGTAATTAGGTGGAATACATGATACTGGAAGGCACAAAACAGAGATAGTTGGCAGTCATTGCTTGAACAGGCAAAGCAAAGACTCAACATGTGGGTTGTAGTGCTGTATAATAAATATGATACAAAATACTTACATTTAACTTTTGATGTTTTTTTTTTAATTCAACTTAATATAAGAATCATATCATTTAGTCCTATGATTATGTTAAATAGCCACTACTTAATTTTTTTTTTTTTTTTCAGGAAAATGAAATCCCATCCTCCAACCAAGATTTCATTAAAGAACTTAACCAAGAAAATATCTATTTTCTTGAAACTTTTAATAATAAGGATACCTTTTCTTCAGTATGGATCAAATCCCAAGCGTTAAAAGCAACTGGAGATGGAGGGACCCTGAAGTATGATGGTATGTAATAAACATTGATGTAAATCAGAAGATTGGCTTAAAAATCTGGATGTATTTAGCAGTAAATCACTCATCACGTAATTTATAATAATAAAATAAAATAAAATAAAGATATAATAATAATTTCAGTATATGCTCATACTATAAATTAAAGGTAGAAAAAATTAAGTAAGAACCTTTAAGTATACATGCTATTAATAATTACCTTTTAATACTAAAATAACAATGAACTTATGAATAAATGTAAGCGATTAAAAGATATACTAATAATGTTAGCCTAGGAGCCCCACGAAATTTCTAAATATTTTCATGTATAGCCCTAAAATCCAAACTGACCAAGTGTCGCTTTTAACACCATCTAATTTTACTGTTAATTTTCAATTAAAGCTTTTAACTTACTAAGTATACTATAAACTTCAATTACGGTGGTGTAAATATTAAATAAAATACAGGAAAATATTTATATATCCTCTCCACTACGCAAGGATAAATGTAATTTATGATAACTGTTACCTACTGAATTCCATTAGATGAATAGAAATAAATTTCATTGGTCTATTATTCTCAATAATGAACCTTTGTAATCTATAAGAAAAAAACCTGTCAATATTTGAGGTTTTACTTTATATCTCTCCGCAACGAATATAGAAAATAAGTTATGATGAATCCATAATTTTATTTACGAATAACTCAAAAACTATAAACTTTTTGGTGACTTATTATTACATTATGGGGGTTCACAACATGTTTTTTTAATCGACCAAGAAATAAGAGGTTAGTCTAATTAACAAAATTTGAGTTTTTACTTATCAATATATGTATAATTCTAAAATAGGATAAATTAAAACAAAGCCAATATCAATCATCCACTGTTCGCTGTTTATCTCTATTGGACCAATTTTTTTATAATAGCCTGTACAATTTTTTATGAAAGATGCCTAAAGTAAGTTCCTTCAAGTCCCTCAAAATTATGTACAGATATTACATTATACTCAAATAAACAATGTGTGTATAAAGCGTAACTCCCCAATAAGAATCTAGAAAAAGTTGCAATGAAAGCTGTTTTGTGTAAGTGATATTGTAACCCAGCGCCGACTTGCAGTGAGTGGTAAAAACAGGTCTGATATAGATTTAAAAAATAAGAGTTGAGCCCCTCAAGCTATGAGGCTCTCTCTCTCCATTTTGAGGCCAAGACTTTGCATAGAGAGGTCTAGAACATCTAAAACCAGACTGGAAGGCGCCCTCACAGCTAAGATATCTATGACGGCATAAAAGTTTGAATTTTACTTTACATAGATCATATAACCTACCAAATTCAATAGAAATACAGTCCACTGCCAAAGTAATGTCGAATGTTGCCTGTATAGAACTCATTTCAATTATTTGCCTTTTTACTTTCACTTACCTATATACGAAATATATACTAAGGGGCAGTTTTGCAATTTTTGAGTCTGAGTTTTCTACAGAAATACATGTTTTCAGTTCTCCTGAGTCCAAATAACCAAGTCCCGCAAAATGGTCTGTGCTGGCGTGTGTCTGTATGTATGTGACACGTCTAGCTCAAATACGAAAAGTCGTATAAAAGTGAAATTGCTTATTTCAGGTTTGTATATACCTGACATGTTACAGCAACTTTTTCATATAAATCGGCTAAACGGAAGTGGCACTTTATATCATCAATGAAACACATTCTTACTATTTTCTCGAAAACGGCTCCAACAATTTTGATTAAATTCATTATATCCAGTGTAAAATTAAGCAGTTTTTAATATTATGTAGGTTTTATTCTCATTGATATTCTCTAACAGGGCTTAAACGGCTAATGTTCAATATTAGTTTCCTCTAAAGTACCTTATATTTTTTTATTTGATATAATTAACTATTTTACATTGATCTCTAATATAAAAAATAGTTAAAATATAAAATATGAAAGAATTTGATAATCAACTAAAGGAGGAGAAATATGAGATCGTAACAGAGAATAGTCATAATGAATCCCCTTTCTTGTTATTACAAACAACTTCCAAGATGGTAACACTATTACTGGGTTTTACTGACTAGAATCAGGGTCCCTTCTCCCATCCTCTCTTCACCCCGGCCAAACACCAACTGCTTGCCAAAATAAAAACCTTTGTCCCTCCCCTCTTTAGGAATTTCCTTTTTGGGAAACTACAGAGCAGCCATTTTCTTTTCCCTGAACTAGTGAAACTATATTAGCTTGCTTTTTAACAATATTTATTTATTTGGCAGAAAATACATGTTATTCACTTTTCCTTACAATTTTTTTTATTCACAATTCTATTTACCTTAAAAAGGTGCTACCTTCACCATAAAAGAAATAAAAAACTAAAAATAAACAAACAAAAAAATGAAAGCAAAGCAAAATAAAATTATAAAGATAAATCCTGGGTTAGAGTCCCCAGGTGTCTCACAAGCATTAAGATAGAATAGAATAGAAAATAGAACTTTATTGTGGGACTAAGTCCCCTTAGAATAACAAAGATAAATTAATACAAAATAAAATACCAATCTGGCCAAAAACTAACTTATAAAAATTCTAGCATAATATACATTACTTAAAAAGTAGTATGTAACCACTTAGAAATAAACAAAAAAAATATACATATATATAAATACACGCACATAAACATACATACACACATATATATATATATATATATATATATATATATATATATATATATATGTGTGTGTGTGTGTATGTATATATATATACATTGCATTTCCAAGTCAATTTCAACCTTTTCCAAATCAAATTCAACCTTTTCCAAGTCAAATTAAACCTTTCCATTCAAATCAATTTCCAAGTCAAATTCAACCTTTTCCATTTCAAATTCAACTTTCGAATTTTTGTCAATTTTCGATTTTTTTTTAAATGAAGGCCACTTACTATATTATCGAAGGCATAGCTTTTGAAAAATACAAAAAAAAATTTGATAACGCGGTTGCATATCCATTTATTTTAACATTTTAGATTTTTTCAGCGTGATATTTCTATGTCATTTCCAAGTCAAATTCAACCTTTTCCACGTCAAATTCAACCTTTTCCATATCAAATTAAACTTTTTCCAAGTCAAATTCAACCATTTCCATTTCAAATTAAACCTTTTCCAATTCAAATTCAACCGTATTCATTTCAAATTAATGTTTTAATTTTTTGTAAATCTTATATTTTTTTTTTAAAATAATGGCCATCCCCTCTCCCCCTCCAATATGAAAGTCTATTATTATGCTCTCCTAAGTAGAATTTTCACTTACGGATATCAATTTATTGTACCTATTCGGATTTATTAGGGACTTGTATTATGCTGTCCTGTACCTAGTTTTGAAAATAACCCCCATTTTAAGATTAAGTGACTGCGTTTCGAATCATTTAAGTTTTTTTGACTTATTCGATATAAGGGTGTATTTTTATGATTCCCGATCAGTAAATTTTGAAAATGACATCCATTTACGTTTACGCCACTGTGTTTTGACTTATTTAAGTTTTTAGAATTTATCCAATATAAAGGTCTACTTTTATGTTTCTGGAGCCGTAGATTTTGAAAACGACCTCCATTTTAAGATTAGGCCACCGCGTTTCGACTTATTTGAGTTTTTCGGATTTTTTTCATATGAGGGTGTATTCTTATGTTTCCGGAGCCGTAGATTTTGAAAACGACCTCCATTTTAAGATTAGGCCACCGCGTTTCGATTTCTTTGAGTTTTTCAGATTTTTTTCATATGAGGATGTATTTTTATGTTTCCGGAGCCGTAGATTTTGAAAACGACCTCCATTTTAAGATTAGGCCACCGCATTTCGATTTCTTTAAGTGTTTCGAATTTTTATCATAAAAGAGTGTATTCTTATGTTTCCGGAGTCGTAGATTTTGAAAATGACCTCCATTTTAAGATTACGCCACTGCGTTTCGGCTTATTCAAGTTTTTCGAATTTATCCAATTTAAAGATCTACTTTTATGATGCCGGAGCCTTAGTTTTTAAAACGACTTACATTTTAAGATTAGGCCACTGTGTTTCGGTTTTTTTAAGTGTTTTTGATTTTTCCTTCGAATAAAAAACAAAATACGAAGGATTAATTTATTTTTCAATAAATAAATAAAAATATCTAATCAAAATAAATAAAATATGTATTGTCTCATTTTTAATTTAATTTTAGTTATCTTTTTTAATGTTGTGGTCTCCTGTCACAAAATTATAAGATTTCGAACAATTAGCTGAAAAATCTGAATACGGAAGGTTAAATTTATTACCAGCTGCTTTTCGGCTTTTTAGTTTGTATTCTGTGGTTAATTTAACTTTAGCTTCATAATATTTATTTATTTATTCATACTCGAAAACATATTGATGAAACTTTGTATTGAAAAAATCCAAAATGAAGCCTAATTATTCGAGATGCAGCGGCTTAATCATAAAATGGAGCTTAAATATTAGATAAATTTAAATATTAAAGATTAGAAAAATTTCAATACGTCTCGGATAACATATAAGTAGATCCTTATACCGAAAAAGTAAAAAAAAAAAACTTTTATAATCCAAAACACAGTGGCATAAACTTGAAATTGGGTCATTTACAAAATGGGGGAAATCTACTGCTCCAGAAACATAAAATTAGACGTTTATACTTGTTAAATTCTAAAAACTTAAATAAGTTGAAACGCAGTGGCGTAATCATAAAATAGAGGTCATTTTCAGAATCTACGGTTCCGAAAACATAAAAGTAGACCTTTAAATTGGATAAATTCGAAAAACTTAAATAAGTCAAAATGCAATGGCGTAATCATGAAATGGAGGTTATTTTCAAAATCTACGGCTCAAGAAACATAAAAGTAGACCTTAATATTGGATAAATTCGAAAAACTTAAATAAGTCGAAACATATTCGAACATAGTCGAAAAACTTAAATATATATATATAGCATTTCCAAGTCAATTTCAACCTTTTCCAAGTCAAATTCAACCTTTTCCAAATTAAATTAAAC